GCCGCGCCAGATTCGCATGGCAGCTGCTGCGTATTTACCCAGCAATTACGAGCCCTGCGAGGGCGGGGAGGCAGAGAGCATCCCTGGGGCTCCATTTCCCAGGGCCAGGGGCAGCTGCACAGGAGCTGAGCCCCTCCTGCCACCAGCAAGGGCTCGCCAGGCACCGTTTGCATTGCACGGTCACCTCCCAGGGGTACCCTCGAGCTCATCCAACAGCTTCTCATTGCCGACACTGAACAGGACCTGTTGCAGGCGGTGATATTCTGCAGGGCCTTTGCAGAGGGTCAAGGCGACCTAGGAAATAATTAATTGCCTCCCTGAGCCAGAGCGGCGATGCTCGGAGAAGCCACACCATGCATGCTTCACGGCATTTGGGGCAGCTTCAGACCCAAGCTGGAGCTTTTCTCAGAAACCTTGGATTTTATTTATGAAATCTCAGCTTCCGTAAAAAGAAAAGAGCCGTAAGAAGAGACATAAGCGGCTCTGAGCAGGGAATGACACCAAGGAAAACTCAGCTGATATCAAGGCAACTGCTTTGGTTCATCAAGGTTCCCGTCTCCTCCACTCTGAGCTGCTCCAAGATGTAAATCAAGTGCAAAAGCCACCCTGGCTCGCCAGGCTTCTCCGCAGCCCTCTGCCCACGTGCCTGCAGCGCTCGCCGCTGCTCCCAGCGTCTGGAAATAAACAGCCTGTTCCAGCACCGCTTGGTATTTCGAGAAAGGTTAACGCAGCATGTGAAGGGCCAGAGCCACCGCTCACGGGGGCTGGAAAGCCTCCAGGCAAACCTGCCAGAGGACTGGGGCTCCCTGCGTAGGAGGTGACCTCCTCGCCCCCCCCCCAACCCCCCAAAGTGTTCACTTCAACCTTCCATATTTTCAGGCTTTGCACGGCTAAGGCTTCCTTCTCCCACCCCCATGTTTCCCCACCAGCATTCCCACCTCTGAAAAATCAACAGGAATTTCAAGCTGATAGGGAAGCCAGGAGGTCCGTGTTGGCCGGGCAAGCTGGCAGTTTTTCTCCTGCT